CACAAAAAGAGCCTCAGTAAATTTGAAAAGATTGAAATCCTACCAACTTTTCAGTCCACAAAGGCATTAAACTACAAATAAATTGTACAAAGAAAGCAAAAAGGCTCACAGACACATGGAGGCTTAACAACACGCTCCTAAATAATCAACGGACCAATGACCAAATTAAAATGGGGATCCAGCAATATACGGAAACAAATGACAACAACAACACAAAGCCCTAACTTCTGTGGGACTCAGCGAAAGCAGTTCTAAGAGGAAAGTATTTAGCAATCCAGGCATATTTAAAGAATGAAGAACAATCCCAAATGAATAGTCTAATGTCACAATTATCGAAATTGGTAAAAGAGGAACAAATGAGGCCCAATGTCAGCAGGAGGAGGTATATAATAAAGATTAGAGAAGAAATAAATAAAATTGAGAAGAATAAAACAATAGAAAAAAATCAGTGAAACCAAGAACTGGTTCTTTGAGAAAATAAACAAAATAGATGAGCCTCTAGCCAGACTTACTAAGAGAAAAAGAGAGTCAACACACATCAACAGAATCAGAAATGAGAAAGGAAAAATCATGATGGACCCCACAGAAATACATCAACGGAGAATATTATGAAAACCCATATGCTAACATACTGGAAAACCTAGAAGAAACGAACAACTTCCTAGAAAAATACAACCTGCCAAGACTGACCAAGGAAGAAATAGAAAATCTAAACAGACAATTACCAGCAATGAAATTGAAGTGGCAATCAAAAAACTACCCAAGAGCAGAACCCCTGGGCCAGATGGATTTACTGTGGAATTTTATTAAACATACAGAGAGTACATAATACCCATTCTCCTTAAAGTTTTCCAAAAAATAGAAGAGAAGGGAATACTTTCAAACTCACTCTATGAAGCCAGTATCACTCTAATACCAAAAACAGACAAAGATCCCACCAAAAAAGAATATTACAGACCAATATCCTTGATGAACATAGATACAAAAATACTGAACAAAATATTAGGAACCCGAATTCAAAAATACATGAAGAGGATCATACACCATGATCTAGTGGGTTTCATCTCAGGGATGCAAGGATGGTACAACATTCGAAAATCCATCAACATCATCCACCACATAAACAAAAAGGAGAAAAACTACATGATCATCTCCATAGACGCAGAAAAAGCATTCAACAAAATTTAACATCCATTCATGATAAAAACTCTCAACAAAATGGGTATAGAGTGCAAGTACCTCAACATAATAAAGGCCATATATGATAAACCCACAGCCTACATCATACTTAATAGTGAGAAGCTGAAAGCTTTTCCTCTAAGATCGGGAACAAGACACAGATGCCCACTGTCCCCACTGTTATTCAACATAGTACTGGAGGTCCTACCCATGGCAATCAGACAAAACAAAGAAATACACGGCATCCAGATTGGTAAAGAAGAAGTCAAACTGTCACTATTTGCAGATGACATGATATTGTACATAAGAAAACCCTAAAGACTCCACTCCAAACCTACTAGATCTAATATTGGAATTCAGCAAAGTTGCAGGATACAAAATTAATACACAGAAATCTGTGACTTTCCTATAGACTAACAATGAACTAACAGTAAGAGAAATCATGAAAACAATTCCATTCACAATAACATAAAAAAAAATCAAATACCTAGGAATAAACCTAACCAAGGAAGTGAAAGACCAATGCCCTGAAAACTACAAGACACTCTTAAGAGAAATTAAAGAGAGCACTAACAAATGGAAACTCATCCCATGCTCTTGGCTAGGAAGAATTAATATGGTCAAAATGGCCATCTTGCCGAAAGCAATCTAAAGATTCAATGCAGTCCCTATCAAATTACCAATAGCATTCTTCAATGATCTAGAACAAATAGTTTAAAAATTCATATGGAACCACCAAAGACCCTGAGTAGCCAAAGCAATCCTGAGAAGTAAGAACAAAGTGGGAGGGATCTCGCTCCCCAACTTCAAGCTCTAGTACAAAGTCACAGTAATGAAGACAATTTGGTACTGGCACAAGAATGGACCCACAGACCAGTGGAACAGTATAGAGAGTCCAGATATTAACCCAAACATGTATGGTCAATTAATATATGATGAAGGAGCCATGGACATACAATGGGGAAATGACAGCCTCTTCAACAACTGGTGTTTTCAAAACTGGACAGCTACATGTAAG